GAGACAATGAAAATACCTGAAAGAACTAAAAAAGGAAATATAACATTATCTATAGCAGTAATGGAGAACCTTTTAGAGACCAAGTGTCAAATTGCAATTCAAAACCCACTTATTTATCACAAAGTGCCAACACTGCAATTAAGCCTGAATACTAAGGTTTTAGTTTAGAAAAAACAACTCTACATTAACATCTTCTATCTTAAAAGAAAAACACAAGAACACATGTACCATAAGTTCACCACTACTGATCTACCAGGCAATACCAATTGGAATGATAGCATGTTTCCCATGTGAAATCATGGAGGTAAAAAAGGAATCGTAGCTTAGTGGTAAAGAAGTAGCCGAGCATTATTCAGGAGGCTCTCGGTTCCATCCTCTGCAACAACCACACACTTTTTCAAGTGATGTCCATCTGAAAGAAAAGAACTGCCAACCATTAGTTCCATATCCAGTGAACCTAACATGCAGGTATAAAGGAAAAATCTAGATATTCTCAGATTAATGGAAGCTAAAATAATTTGTCTCTATCAAACTTACCTTTGAAGAAGAACTAAAGAAATTATTCAGATAAAAATGAAATGATGGATGAAAGAATCACAGAGCACCAGGAAAGAAAAAAAGAGTAATAGAAATTGTAAAAATATATACAATGCAAAATGAGTTTTACAAATATATAAAGTCTATCTTTTGTCCAGTATGATGTCTTTATCTTGAATTTAATTTTATTCATAATAACATTTTTATCTGACTTTACTTTTAGTTTATATTTGTCTCCTATATTTGTGTTATCACTTTGTTTTTCACCTTTTGTATTTTATGGCTTTAAATGTGTGTTTCCTAAAGAACATATTCCCAAATCTTGAATTTTTTAAAATCTATTTTTACCTCAAACTGAGATTCTTTTCCTGTTGATAGATGAACTGGCTCATTTATATTTATTGTGATAAATAGTAAGACAGGTCTTTTTTTTTCTGTGTTTTCTATTAACCAAACTTTCTTTTTTGTTTTCTTTGTGCCTGGGTTTCTATCGAATAATGAGTTCTGTTCTTTTGGTTTGAACATTACGCATTCTCCCGTTGTTTGACCATAATAATATCCATGTATATGTTTTCCCAGCCCTTGAATCCTTTTTCTGAGTTTTTATTTATTTATTCATTTATTCATTTTTTTGGTTTTTGGTTTTTTTCTGGTACCAGGAATCGAACTCACTACCTTGCACTTGCCAGGAAGGTGCTGTGCCGCTGAGCTAAATCCCCAGAACCTTTTCTGAGTTTCTAAATGTGTGTATGCTCCCCTTGACCAAGGCAAGTAACTTAGCTACTCTCATTTTTTCATTTCTATTTCCCGCATTCGTCTTCTGTGATGTAATCTAAAATTCTATTTAAATTACTATATATGTAGTAACTGTTATCTTGATGGACTAACTCTTCTCTTTGCTCATTTTAATATAATAAATCATTTAACAAATTATTATTACCTCTATATCTTGAAGTGTCTTTCTGAGATTTTTTCTTCTTCCTAAAATGCTTCTTCCAATGTCTTTTATGCATATGAACATACTTATTTTGCCTAATTTGCATGATACTTAAATAAAATAGAAAGCTCAATATTCAAAATAATTTTTCTTCTTATAGTCAGTGCTGCTATTGACAAATCAGATTTGCTTATTCATTTATTATTTGCTAAGAGGTCACAAAATACTAGGCACTGTTTTGGTTTGGTTTGGTTTTGCCTAGTTTGCAGTGCTGGGGATTGAGCCAGGGCCTCAGACATATGAGGCAAGCGCACCACCACATATCCCCAGATCTTGGATTCATTTTTTTATTTGTTATTTTGCTGTTTTGTAGGTTTTGTGTGTTGTCTCTGAAGAGTTTTATAATCTATGTTTTACTATTAATATTGTAAAAGATTTCACTATGATATGTGGTATCTTTTCATAATTTTCTTGTTTGATTCTCAAGGAACATTTTTTTTTTAGACAGGATCTTGCTCTGTAGTTCAGGCTCACCTCGAATACAGGGCAATCCACCTGCCTCAGCCTCCCTAGTGCTGGAATTGCAGATGTGGGCCATCACATCCAGCCCAATGAACATTTTTAATATAAGATTTTAACATTTTCTTATTTCTCATTATTCTTGCTTATCATTTTTTAAAGTATTTTTTCCTTACTGTTTTCTTCCTTATTCCTTCTAGGATTCTAATCATAAAATCTACTCATTCTCCATATCACTAGCACTTCTTTAACATTTTTCAATTTTTTTATCCCTTTCTCTTCTTATTTGAGAGCAAATTTCCTTGACCTTATATTTTAGCTTTGGAATTCACACCCATTTTGCACATTCTACTATTCAACCCATTTATAGAATACTTTCTTTGAACTATTATATCTTTCCCAAAAAGTTTTGTTTTTATGAGAAATTCTTGGATGATATTTCTTATATTCTCTACTTTATTACTTTAGGATATAGATAGATTGATATAGATACAGATACAGATATAGATAGATATAGATGTAGATATATATGGTTCATTAATTCTGGCCAATCTGTTAGATTGTTTTTCTTTTACAGTGGTAAAATTCTTCAGCTATTTTGTTTTCCTCCCATGATTTAATATTTCCCAGGCTCAGTTTATAAGCTAGTAACATAAGGAAGGATGAAAACCAAAACCCTGAGGTATTTCCCATACCTCCTCCAACTCACTAGGAAAAGTTTCTCACCCTCAAAAGGAAGAAGTTGCACAGGATGATACACAAGGGTGTTACACCAAGAGGCACAGATACTGGGTCACATGTCCCTTTTGTAGGAACTGGAAATCACTCTTCCCTGAAGTTTTAAAAAGGCATTGAGCATTTTAAGCAGTAAAATGATATCACTTTCTTGCTTTAAAATGATCACTGGCCAGAAAGTTTGGAGAATAGATCAGTGGGAGTGAAAATTTGAGTTATGGAACAGTTAGGAGACAGCTTATAATCCTAGTGAAATGTTGGTGGTTTGAACTAAAGTAATGGTAAGTGGAAAGAGATAAAAATGAACACTTAGAGAGTTATTTTAAAAATGTAATACATAGGCCTGGTAGAAGTGAAAGAAGAGAGTTGAAAATATTCTGTTCTGGCTTATTGATGCGTTGGCAGTAACATCATTCCGTGAGGAGGGGCAGTTTAGACATGACTTTGTGGTAGGAGGATTAGTCCCTCAACAGAATTGGAGAGACTTAACCATTACTGAGACTATCTAGACTGTTTGCCTGCAAAGAACCTATTGTTCAAAGTTGTAGAAACTGGTTCCATCTTTTCAGGTCTGGTCACTGAAGGGGTCTGAAGAGGGTCTCTTGTAGGAGAGATGAAGACTTCAACTTGTCCCCCACTTGCAGAGTAGGTTGTAGTTTTGCTGACTTATGTCACAGAAGGATATTTTAGGACACCTCATTGAGACTTATTAGATAAAGTAAAAAAGGTATACACACATACACACACACATGCACGCACACACACAGAGTGCAGTTGCTCAAGGGAGAGGTGCATTATGGTCTTGGCCTGGGAATATAAATGTTCTTGAGGATGTCCTCAAGACAAATGATTTAGACCGTATATGCCCAATGTCTTGTCAAGTTAGCCATTAGTGGGCTAAATCATAATGAAAACCACTTGCCTATGTTTGAAGTTTAGAGATATGGTATCCAACTAATAGTGCTATATCTTTGAGGGTGGGAAGTATGTAGACTTCTCAGGCTCAATTTACAGGTGAAAAACATAGGATCAATTCATAGGCGTTTTGTATTTCTAATAGTCTTAGGATTTCTGTTTTGTTTTGTTTCGAGTGCTTTTTCTGGAAACGGAAAAAGGCACCGTAGTCTTGGTAACTTTGTGTCTTGAAGCTGTAGTTTTCCTGAAAGTACAATTTTAAAATTACAATTCCCCTTGTCTCCTTTCTACCTCTCTTTGTTTCTTCTATCCTACTTGAATCTCACAAACGTGAATTTTTAGGACTGCCAAGTTGTCCGTGGATAAAAGAACATAGGAATAAGTATGCAACCAAAAATCTGTTCAAAAAAAAAGAAGCCTGCACAGTTTTTGAAGGCAGAGGATGAGTTTCAGGAGTACAAAACGTGACAACGGAGTAAACTGGATGGATTCGCAGCCTTGAGCACGTGTGTAGATAAAGAGCGGGGACAGCCAGGACTCAAACCAGTGCCAGCAGTGTTTTTGTTTCACCTCCCACACTTAACAGACACAGAGAATATCGTCCTGTACCCTCGCGAGAGGAAAGAAGCTCTCTTGTCTTCAGATTCTGTCCACCGCGTACCATTCACGATGCCACCTGCCGAGAAAAGCAGTATGGAAGCGCAGGGGCTTCTGGGGATCGTAGTTCCGGGCGGAAAGCGACCGGTCGGCCTTGTTCCCCTACCGCGGCTTACCACGCATGCGCAACCCCAAGCTGGCCAGAGAAGTTCGTAGCCTTTGTTAGGGCCGGGAGGGGAGGGGAGTTGGTGGGTCGGGTGTTGTACCTCTCCGCTCCACCTCGGAGGTCGCCCCTGGCTCGTTCTGAGCGGAAAACGGGCTGGAGTGGGAGGATGTGAAAGGGGCCTGGCGGGCAAGCCTTGAGCCGGACCCTGTCACGTTGTGGCTGGAATCCCCGCCCCCAGGCCAGTGGAGAGCGGTGCCGGCGGGCGCTGCGGGCCGGGCGGGCGGCGGAGCGGGGGTCCTGGGGCGCGACCGAGGACGCGGGAATCGTCTGTGCTTGTTTTGCCTTGACTGCAGCCCAGCGCCATCCCTTTGGACAACCGTCTCCCCTTTTTCTCTCTCCCCTCTCTCGGGACAGCTCCCAGCGGGAGGGACCGTGTCAGGGATGCTGTCCCCGGATTTCCAGGCTGCCGCTCCGTAAGGCCGAAGCAGGCTCCACGGTGAGGAAGAAACTGACCGCGACTCTCCGTAGAGCCCCCGAGGGGCGAAGGAAAGGCGCATCCCGCCTCCTGGGACTCCTCGCTACTTTGCACGGAGAGGTCTGGATTTGAGTGAAGAAGAGCACGATCTTCGGGACGTGGAGGAGGTGTGATCATGGAAACAGATTTGATCCAGATGCCTGAGAAAAGAGGTAGAATTGCTCCAGTGTTAAACATGTGTCGTGGAAGGGTGGGATTCTTCCTCCTAAAGGGAAAATGGTTGCCTAGGGACAGATGACTCTTGTCAGAGAGGTGCTGTTTGTCTCCAGTCTTGGGGATGGATGGATGCTGTCTGAGTGAGTATGGAGGAGTTGGCTTGGGATCTCACACATACACACACACACACACACACACACACACACACACATTCCAGCGTGGTGCAGTAGAGCCTTCAAAACATTCCTCAAGTGTGAGCGAAATGTTAAGCTTCTGAGGTGTGAGGATAGCCACAGTTACTTTTCTTACATTTTCTTCCTTCCAAGTGATTACATCCTACTTTCCTGTCTATCAGTGGGGCTGTGAATTAAGCTTTGTGGTTGACAAAAATATTTCCACATACCTGTTATCCCACTTGTTACCATGATTTTAATACAGTACATGTTTTTTGTTTCATATACAGAGAAGACAGGCACAGAAGTCAAGAGACAGACTTCTGGTACTACTAGTGTTTTTTAAAGTTTGGTTAGTGATCTTGTGCATCAGAATCCCCCCTGGGCTTGTTAGAGTTCTGTATTGCAACCCAGATTCTACCAATGATAATTACTTTCAAGTGAGGTCCAGCCCTTTACTTTTTAAATAGACGTTCAAAGTACTTTTGAGAACCATTGAGCCTACTTCTGTATTGTTTTTATAGGTTAAACTGGGAAATTATTCTAATTTCTAGATCAGAGAGTGTCATCTTCCAGAACATGTTGATTGTAGCAACTGAATTTAAGTCCCAAGTACATTTTCCATAGTCCTGGGAGGTGACAGGTGTTTGGGGCTCCCTTCCATCTCAGTGTTAGGAGGGAGCACATTTATAAGGTGGACGGACTGTGAGACTTGGAAATCTGAGTAGCAAGATAGGCTCCATCATCATTGCTTTCTTGCCCTTAGCTCTTTCTTCCCAGAATTCTTCCCAAGAGAAGAACACGGAAGAGGGAGAAGAGGCAGCCTTGCGTCTCACAGCCAGATCCCAGGTGAGTGTATCTACTGATGATTGAAATCCACCTTATTTCTCAGAGTACAGACGTGCACTCCCCTCTTTTCGATGTGAAGTTTCTTTGTCCACAAGAGCCCATGTAGGCAGCTGAATTCTAAGAGATTAATGGAATCAGTAGAAAATATTTTGTACTCATCTAGTACTTACTGTCCTTTTATGGCAAGTAAGCAGCATTTCCCTTCTTTAGCTAATTAGTAATTAGTATTAGCTAATGTCTGTGCTTGGTAATATAAGAAAGTATTTTTAAAATAATATGGTACATCTTAAAATTTATGTTTCTGTAGGGGAAGCGGTGTGCATATGACTTTAAGGCTTTAAGAAAGCACTTTAAATGCTGAAGTGATTAGAATAATAACTGAGTTCATGTCTCAGGATGCTAAAAAATGGACTCAAGGATGTGGGAAATAAGTAGGAAGAAAGTTTATTAGAGGAAAGCTCCTGAAAGCATCAGGGAACTTGAAAGTAGGTTGCCATGGGACTCTTTGTCTAAGGGTTTTTCTACACCAAAATGACCACATCTTAGACCATTTGGGGCCAAGCTGAGGTCAACCTATGGGGTTGCAAGAAGGAGAGTTTGACCAGAGCTGGGCCTGTAGAAACTAAAGGCATGTAGTGGGTGTGCTTTTACGAGTACCATTAATTGTAACTTTTCTAAAATTTTTAGCACAAGCAGAAGAATGGAGACATTCTTCAGAGGGGTATGAATGATTCTTGGTGGTTCTGGTTATCTATCACCTTGTATTTATCACTTTCCTAGGCAGGAAGATCCCACCAATTTAACATGGGACCCATGTTCATTAGACGTGTGGCCCTGGCCTTGGCCATTGTGTCTCCATCCTGGGGCCTGGTTTTTTTGTTTCAGGCTTTATCTTACCTTATCCTTCACTGGATCATCCTGACTTCCTCTTGGGGCCTGTGTTTTCCATAGCTGCCTGTCACGCATACTGCAGTAATAGTTCAAACAAATGCTAAAAAAGAAAAGCCTGGGGCTGGGGATTTAGCTCAGCGCGAAAGCGCTTGCCTGGCAAGCGCAAGGTCGTGAGTTCGGTTCCTGGTACCGGAGAAAAACCAAACCCCCCCCCCAAAAAAAGAAAAGCCTATAAAGGCTTAAAATTATAGAGTTCAGTCCCCTGAATGGATGAATGCTGACATGTCTAACTTACTTTTACATGGTTGTCCTTCCTGTGAAAGAATAAGTATGACACTTTTTTTTTTGGTTTTGGTTTTTTTTCTGGTACCGGGAATTGAACTCATGACCCCACACTGGCCAGGCCGGCACTGTGCCGCTGAGCTAAATCCCCAGCCCCAGTATGACAAATACTAATAATTGTCAAATTTAGGTGGTGGCTGTACTGTGGGAAGTCATTGTGTTTGTCCTTTAACCTTTATCCATGTGATACTAGATGTAAGTCTGTTAAACCCTCGGTATGGATTGAGTCTTCTTTGGGAATTTTTAAAAATCTGTTCTTTTTGCATTTCATTAGATCTTATTTGATGCTAATATTGCAACTTTCTCATTAGTAATTGGGCTATTTTTTATATTTTACTTACTAGATTTTTTTTGAAATATGGCTTTGATTCTCGCTGATTTGACAGGAAAAACAGCACAAACTATAAAGATAATATTACTTTCCTTCCCAAATTCATTCCCTCATCTCTCCCAATCAATGGTAACAGGCAGTAAGTTCTTCCATATTTGCGTTGAGCTTGCATTACTGTATTCAGGCTTGTGACATATTATATTTCCCACCATGCTGCCAACCTTGGGATAATACTTTGTCTGGGACAGTCTATTCTCTTTTTTTTTTTTTTTTTTTTGGTTTTTCTCTGATACCGGGAATCAAACTCACAACCTTGCGCTTGCCAGGCAGGCGCTGTGCTGCTGAGCTAAATCCCCAGCCCCAGGATAGTCTATTCTCAATGGCTTTTTAAAAAAACTTTTTTAAGGAAATAATGCTCATTTATATTTGATATGTATGTTTCAGATTTTTCTTGCCATATGATATGTATAATTCTATATATTCTTTATCTTTTTGTGCAGTGGTTTACATTTTTGTTATTTCTTTTTCTTCTAATTGTTGGGCAGTTAATTTCCACTGAGTGTTGATTTAGCTATTTGAAGATCAAGGTCATCTTTTCTGATATCTTAGTAGTTTTACATTTTATTTTATTTTTAAATGATGATTCTTTTATTTTTTAAATCTCAGTTTATTTCCATTGAAGTTTGCTTTGAAAAATTATTAGACATGAGAAATATTACAAGTAATACAGATATTTTTCATACTGTTTATCCAGATTCTCCAAGTTAACATTTTACTTTGTTATTAGTGTTTTTCCATAATTAAGACATTAACATTGGTATACAAATGTAATTCCAGCAGTTTTCAAAATTTGTTTTTCTTCAACTTGACTTGTATGTTCTGCTCATTTATTTGCATAATTTTTTAATAAAATGAAAGTATTTAAAGCTATGACATTTTCTGTAAGTATAGTGTTAGTCATTGACATTGCTTTTCACATTTTGTTTCATAATTATTTTTATATCTGAAATGGCTTTTCAGTTATCAGTTATTATTCTGTTCCATTTCTATTTGGTAATTTATTGAAATTTACTTTGTTTTTTACAAATGCTTCATGAATGTTTAAATAGAAGATGTTTTCTATCCAGTTACAGCATTTGGTATATGTTTGTTCTGGCAACTTTGGAATTTTATACCCATTCCCTATGGATTTATTTAAAGGGACATGATCAGTGTTGACGTTTCTATCTTGATATTTTACACATAAACGTTTTGAATTAAATCTGTAACATTAATTAGTTTGTTCCAGTCATTTTCCAGTTTAACACATTTTACCTTGAGTTAATTGTGTGTTAACTGGATTTGGTACTACTCACTCTCAGCTTTTTTGTTCAGTGACTTCTCCATTTGCAAGTTCTTTATTGCAGTTCATCTTCTGAAAGTTAGATCAATTCTTCAAGGTTTTAATAGGACTCTCAGGGCAACGGGTAGACATGCCTGTATTTTTATTTCCCTCTACCTGTATTTTATTTTGCCCAATTATACTGTTGACTCATTAGTTTATATTTTAATACTTTATTCCCCAGAAAAATTGTCATCTTTCAGTGGAGCCATAATGGGCTTACTTCACTAAATTCTCATGCTGAGTCTGACACAGTATGCCTGGCTTACAATTAATACTCTGCCTTTACATAGAATAATCAGAATTTGAACACCATTAGAAAACTTACTACTTCCTTTGTTGAGTGTATCTCAGGCCTTTGCTCCAATGAAAGCAGAAATGGTGACTAAAAGGGAGACTACCAAGTGAGACATAGTAAACAAAGATATGTTTTGTCTTAGGAAACGGTGACATTCAAGGATGTGGCCATGGACTTTACGCCAGAGGAGTGGAGGATGCTGGATCCTGCACAAAGGGATGTGATGCTGGAGAACTATAGGAACCTAGTCTCACTTTGTAAGAATGTATTATTACACCTATGACATAATTACTCCATTGAAAATGAAGTAGCTTAAAAAACATTCAGTTTTACATTCAGAGATCATAAAGTATTAATTCTTTTGCACCTGAAGAAAAATCTGTTTCTTGTTTGTTTTCGTGTTGGGAGTTGAACCTGGGGCCTTGCACATTCTAAGCATAAACTACTACCTAACTCTATCTCTTGCTGAGGAAAATCTGGATCTGCTCTAGGTTCTCGCTGAAATGTCCATGATTGCTGTGTAACAAGACTCAAGTGACAACCTAATTCATACTAGTTTAAGAAGAAAAAAGTCTTGACTGAGGGAATCAAGTATATTATCAGGACTTTAATTAATTAATTAGTTTAGTTTTAATCAGTTGGCTTGGCTTGGCTTGGCTTGGCATGAGCTTTCTTCTCTCTCTTTTTTTCTCCTCTTCCCCTTCCTCCTTCTCTTTCTTTTTCATTGAGGCAGGGTCTTGCTAAGTTACTGAGGCTAGCTTGAACTTGCAATTTTCCTGCCTCAAACTCTTGATTAGTTATGATAATAGGATGAAATATCGTTGTACTTAGCTTAGCTTTATTCTTAGGGTCTCCTTATGTGGCAGAGATGTCCATTGGTAGTTATATTATTCTTCCAGTTGGAAAGCTAGGCAAAAAGGAATGATTCTGGGAGCTTCAGCAAATAGTGTCATATGCCTATCAGAAATAGTCATAGAGCCATTGACAGAGAGTATGCTCTGGCCTATTCTGGATCTTGTGTCTACCACTGTGTATGTGTACATTTGTAGAGTGATATATGAAACAATGTTAGCCCCTCCAAAATCTCATGTAAAAAATGCCTTAAGAAAGTGATTTCTAGTAACTGAAAAAACAAAAAAGAAACTTTTAGAAGACAGAAACTGTAGTTAAACATAATCACTATCATGTGGTCCAACTGAGGTCCAATTTTTTTTTCCATCTTTCATAAGGTAATTACTAGGATACAAAGTCATTAAAAAATTTCTGCAGTGGAAAGATCCATCCTTCCCTATGCTAGATCTTCCAGTAATATCTTATCTTTGTAGATCAAGAGGCTGGGATTATACTCCAATGTAAATTTTTGTGACCATTATAAAAAGCCTAGTTCCATTTCTTTTTACTTTCTTTCCCTTTTTTCCAAATAGGGCTTCCAGTTTCCAAACCTGAGAACTATAATTTGGACAATGGAAAGGAACCATTGAAGTTTGAGAGAAAAGCCCCTAAACGCAACTACTCAGGTGAGTCAGGTCGATGAGACTCTTCAGAAATGTCCAGCAGGACAGTGAATAAGTGTCACTTTTCAGTTCTAATAAAGAATATTAGATGTGCCTTTGTTTTAAAAATACTTTATTTTAAATTTTAGAACAGTTTAAATACGTAAATCCAGAAATAAAATAACATGTATCCATCACCAAGATTAAACACTTGCTAATATTTTACTTTCTGTCTTTTCTTTCACTTTCCTTCTTTTTTTGCAATATAAAACAAATAAAAGCATCATAACTACTATTCTGTGAATTTTCACAAATGAAACACATTCACATAACTAGTGCTGAGATCAAGAAAACAACTTTGCCAACACCCCTAGAAGCATTCTTGTACCCTGTCTCTGTCACCTTCCTCCTCCCAAGGATAACCTTACCCTAACTAGTAACACCATAGTTTAATTTTGGACTGTTCTTGAATGATACTGTATATATTCTTGTGTCTGGCTTCCTTCACTGAACATTAGCTATAAGATATATACATGATATAGTATGTTATGTAGTAGTTCATTCTCATTGTTGTACAGTCTTTCCGTAAATGAATGTTCTAGTTTATCTATTCTCCTGAAGATAGGCATTTGTATAGTTTCCAATTTTTGTGTATGTAAATAATGCTGCTGTGTATATTTTTTCACTTGTCTTTTTATGAACTCATATATGAATTTCTGTTGGACATATACATGCAGGTACAATTGTTGAGCCACAGGTTAGGTGCATGATTATTTTTGGTAGAAACTGCCTGAGAGGGTTTCAAGGTTGTCATACTAATTATATTACTGTCATCAGAGGATGTGAGTTCTAGATGCTCACATGTTTATCAGTGCTTAATATTATCTGCCTTCATTCTAGCCATTCTTACGGATTTGTGATATCTTTTACTTTTTAAGAAAGAAAAAATATTAGAGATTTAAAGTCCTTTCATTCTTTCATTCTTGCTAAGTAAGCACTATAACTATCTCAATGGTGTGACTTAGTCTGTTTGCATGTGTAAACAGACATGTGTATGTATACAAACATATATATGTACATGAAACAATATGTATATTGTATAGACACATGTGCATAAATAATATGTGTTTTATTTTTAAGCTTTTTAAATCTAATTTTTAAAACAACATTATATTTTATTAATCTATAGTAATGTACAATGACTTGTGTTTATTTTAGCTAGTGTAGAATAGGTCCATTGTGTGATAAACTGAACACTTGTTACCAGTAGTAATAGAGTTACAGTGGTCATCTCTGCATTGACTAGTGTTCATCTTGAGAATTGGGGTAAATTAAGGTAGCTATCTAGAGGAGGAATAACTCATTCTTGAAGTATTTCATGTTAGTTTTATTAGGAATTATCAAAGTCCTCCACCTATCCTAGCAAATACTTTATGTTTTCAGATTTGTTAATTTTGTTAATCTGGTGGATGCAAAAATGCTGTTTCATGGTTTTAAATTTGCATTTATCTGAATGATGAATATGAGTGAGTTTGAGCACTTTGTGTTGATTTGCTATTTAGATTTTCTTTTTGTGAATTATCTATTGATACTCTTTGACCAATTTTAAAAATTGGTCTGTTCACATCTTTTTTTTGATTTTCTGGAAGTATTTGTATATTTTAAATTCTATTACATGACAGAGGCAGCATTACAAATCATTGAGAAAAGAATTTCTTCTGATCTTGGCTTATTTTTATGTTATTACATCTTTTATGACATCTTGAATTTTTAAATTTTGATGTCAGATTCACTGAATTTTTAATATTTCATTTCTGTTAATTATCTTTCTTATCCCATTATCAGAAACATAATCTTTTATTTGCAAATGTTCATGTTTTGTGTTACATGTATTTTTATATGTAGTGTGAAATAGGAAATTAATTTTATCTTTTTCCATCTTTACAGTCTATAATCAAGCATGATTTATTGAACAATCTTTTGTCCCTGGTTTCTAAAGCTATCTTTGTAGTAAATTCAGTTCCCCTATATTCTTAGATTCATTGCTAGTCACTCTGGTTTACTTGTTTATCCGTACTCTAATACCATGCTGTTTTAATTATTACACTTAATAGTGTGTGTGTATAAATCCTTTCTGAATGTTCTTGTCAAGATTCTATTTGGAATACTAACAGAGTTTTAAAATCTCTCCCTGTGATTATGGGTACATCTGTTTCTCTTTGTGGGTCTGTCAGTTTTTATGACTTGCCTATTCAACACTTTTATTTTTGGGGGTATTGGGATTTGTTGTGTTGCATTGTGTTGTGTTGTTTTGTTTTATTTTGGATATTGCTATTTTCTAGTGACTTTGAAGAGCTCGTGAGCTGTTTATCCTTTGTTATGTTATAGATCTTTTTAGATTTTTACCTTTCAGTTTTCCTATGCTTTTTGGTGTACAAAATTAATGTTACAATCTTTTATTTTCTGCCTTTCGAGTACTGTCCAAGGACCTTCCTCATCCCAAGATTATATAAATATTTGTTCCTGCTTTCTAATATATTTGTCCTTTAGTTTTTCCTGTAAGTCATTAATTCATTTGGAATTGCCTCTTGCTTTTGGGTCAATCTTCTCAGCTTTCTTCTATGAGCAGTTACATTTTTACTTGATCAAGATTTGATTTTAAATTGGGCATGATGATGCATGACTATAATCCCAGCACTCTTGAGAGATTGATGCAGGAGAATCAAAAATTCAATCCAGCCTGGCCGATTTAGTGACACCCGTCCCAAAATAAAAAATTTAAAGAAGGCTGGGATGTAGCTCAGTGCAAAGATCCTGGTTCAATCCCTACTGCAATGTAAAATCTGAAACTATAACCATAAATTCTTCATATTCTACTACTTAAAATCTGTATTAATTGCTTAGAAAATACTGATTGGCCAAGTTAAATAGATATTTCAAAAGTTGATGCTTTGCATTATGCAATATTTTTTTAAATTAAAATGACAATACTGACCTTAGGAAAGTCATTACATTTTAGGAACCTGTCAAGCTTTCTTTAGTAGTTAGTTTTCCAGAACTCATCATTTCTGCCTGAAAACTCAAATTTTATCAAATACTGTAATTTGTTTTCCTTGAAATGACAGGTTCACTTTATTCATTTTTGAGAAATTATGTGCCAGATACTCAACTTGGATAACATAGTTTGTCACTTTTTCAAGTAAAAATCATGGTCCTTAAGTAAAGCAGTTTAGCTTACAATTCAGTCACACAGTGTTTTTCCTCACAATAGTCATAATGCTTAACTAAGAATGTTTATTCCTTTCTTAGACATTTTACAAAGAAACTGGCTTTATATATCTATATTTATATGTATGTCTATATACAGGAATATAGATGTATATATCTAAATATGCCTATGGATACATGGTAGAAAAGAGAATAATAACCACTAGTAAGTGTGATGTCATTGTTTTCATCCTTGTTAAATTATAAGCAATTTTGCTATCACTACTTTTGCAACGTCAGTGTAAATATGAAAACAGTGTAAAAGGCAAGTAACATCTAAGTATTATTTTGAAAGTGGTGTTACAGCCTTCCATGGTTCCACATACTGTACTTTGAGATCTGTTTCTACTTACCTGTGTTGATTTATATTTTACTTAACAAACAGTTAAGTAGCACTTATGCTGTGTCAGTGTTCAGTGGCATAATATATACTCTAAAGCTCATTAAAATAAGTTTTGTTATTATTCCTCATGAGGTCTACCTGTTATTACCCTATCTTATACATAAGGAAATGGAATAGAGGTACTAAATTATTTGCCCAAGATCACAGAGCTAGTAAATGGCAAAGTGGGGATTCAGATTCATATGTTCTGATTCTGTAGTCTATATTCTTAGTCACCATGCTTTGCTTGAACATCCTCTTTACCTTGGGGTGTATATACATATCCCCTATTCCATCTATCTGGAATGTGGTCAGTGCTTTTGCACTCTAGAACCGTAGTATACCCAAAATAACTCTCCTCAACCCCAACTCAGTTTTCATTCAGCTGAATGATTTACTTTTTCAGAGAAAACTCTCCCTTCTGTTCCCCCCTCTTATGGTTTTTGATAACATCATTTGCCTTTTATTTTTCAATACTTTCAGTAAATCCCATTTAATACTTGTCAGTGTTAAATGAAATTCTGTCTCCCTCTGTGTGCATAGGAATGGTGTTTGTTTTACTCCAGAAACTAGCATAAAGCTCAACACATACAATAGGTATTTGCTGAATAAAAGAGATAGATATATGAATGCAGAGATAAATGAATAGAATTTATTTGTGTTTATGGAATGAGAAATCTAAATTTTCTTTTAAATGTTTAGTTGTCATGGCAACATTTTGTTGGAAACACATATCTCTTGTTCAGTGACTAAAATATGATCTTCCTATTCTTATATATACTATAAGAATATAGTTTATTTCTGAATTTTCTCTTCTACTTTATTGTTGTATTTATTTCCTTGAACCACTGTTTAAATTATTTCATCTTATAAATAGTTTTATATTGTATACAAAATTCTGATGTTTATATCGGGCATAGTTAAAGAGGCTTAGCTCCTATTTCTGCCCTGTCCTCTGTTCTGACCTTCCCCTATAAATGATCCTTTTTATTACTTTTTCATTATACCTCATATTTTTAAAAAATAATATATCCTAGAGGTCATAGCAATATATGAAGATCATTTCTATTTTGAAAAAGTTACATACTACTCAATTTGTTATATATATATTATAGTTTATTCAGTCTTTTCTCTATATTCGATATTTGAGATGTTGCTAGTCTTTGGCTGTCTTAGTTGATAATGGAGTAAATATCCTTGTGCATTTATCATTTCATGGATCATAGGAGATTTTTAATAGAAACATAAAAACATTGTTAGGATGATTATACTGGCAATGGAATTATATCTAATCATGAATACAATTAAAAGACTGTAAACTTAGAAATTACACTTGTATTCTACAGTAAGATGCTGATTGCCTTAATATTTACTACAGTAGGTATTCCATAAAAAGTGTTTCCTCTTATCTTGATCTAGTATATTCATTGTCTCTCATTCATTGATATATTGCTTTGTCAACATCCCTCTTTCTCCTATATTCCTGGTCATCTTTTCCCTCTTCTGACACTCCTGCATATGCTATACTCCTTTTCTCTGCAAACACTATTTTTCTCCATTTGGTTCTTTTTTGGAAATAATCTAATAAGAGTCAGGCCCATTTATTCCTTAAAAGTATACTTACCACCTTCATTAATTCTTACCTATTACAGAACTGCCTTTTTGTTGAGCACAGAAAAACAAAGGAAATTTACATTTCCAATGTTTTTCAGACATGGAGACTATACCTGAGAGCAAAGATTCAACTTCAGTACAAGATTTTTCCAAAGAAGAGTCATGTCAGGATGTAATAATGGACAGATTAACAAGAAATAGCATCTATGATTCCACCTTGGAAACAGCTCTTGAATGTGAAAATTGGTTAGAGAATCAGCAAGGAAATCAGGAGAGACACTTGAGAGAAATGTTCACCCATATGAATTCACTTGCTGAGGAAAGAAATCATGAGCATGATATATATTGGAAAAACTTCAGTCAAAAGTCTGTCCATATCACTCAGGACAGAGTGCCCAGAGGATCCTATTCATTTCATACACTGGGTAAAAGACTGAAGCAGAAGTCAAGCTTAATGAAAAAGCAGAGAACTTATAAAGAGAAAAAACTTCATAAATGTAATGATTGTGGTGAATTCTTCACTTACCATTCAGTGCTTATTCGACACCAGAGAGTCCATACTGGAGAGAAACCCTATACCTGCAATGAATGTGGGAAATCTTTTAGCCACAGAGCTAATTTAACTAAACACCAGAGAACTCATAATAGAGTTCTATTTGAGTGTAGTGAATGCAAGAAAACCTTTACAGAAAGCTCATCCCTTGCAGTACATCAGAGAATTCACATTGGAGAGAGACCTTATGAATGCGGTGAATGTGGGAAAGGTTTTAATCGAAGTACACATCTTGTGCAGCATCAGTTGATTCATACTGGAGTAAAGCCTTATGAATGCAATGAATGTGATAAAGCTTTCATTCATTCATCAGCACTTATTAAACATCAAAGAACTCATACTGGAGAGAAACCTTATAAATGTCTAGAATGTGGGAAAGCTTTTAGCCATTGTTCATCCCTTACCAAGCATCAGAGAGTTCATACTGGAGAAAAGCCATATGAGTGTAGTGAGTGTGGAAAAACCTTTAGTCAGAGCACACACCTTGTTCAGCATCAGAGAATTCATACTGGAGAAAAACCCTACGAGTGCAGTGAATGTGGGAAAACTTTTAGCCGGAGCTCAAATTTTGCTAAACATCAAAGAATTCATATTGGAAAGAAACCCTACAAATGCAATGAGTGTGAAAAAGCCTTCATTCATTCATCAGCCCTTATTCAGCACCAGAGAACTCATACTGGAGAGAAACCTTTTAGATGTACTGATTGTGGGAAAAGTTTTAAGTGTAGTTCATCCCTCATCAGACATCAAAAAATTCACACTGAAGAGCACCCCTGAAAAGTTCCTGAATGTGAAGAAATGTAAGTTGGCTTTATCACTGTTAAATACCTGACTGTTTAAGTAGAAAACCTGTAATATGCATCTAATTTTACTTGCCTAATATATAATTTTGCTCTTAGCTAAGATGTTATGTCTTTATTTGATAATTATGAAAATACCTAGCTACAAATCTTACAATGCTAATTCTCAACCTCCCAAATACCTACTTGTGGGAATTCAGGAAATCCGAGGGAAGGATATCAGTACAAACATTGTGAAATCCAGTACCCTCCTTCACTTGTTTGTACCAGAGCCCCACTGTAGCTCTCCTTTTGGAAGGAAAGAATGTTGTAGGTTAATCTGCATGCTCATACCCTTGTCATCAGGAAGACACAGAGTTGTTATTCTGGGTTTTTCATGACCTTGGGCTTGCCAGGCAGGCGCTGTGCCACTGAGCTAAATCCCCAGCCCCTAGAGTTGTTATTCTGAATCCAAAGTAGAAACCTACATATGTATAATTGCATTTCTTCAGAGAGTATCATTTCTTTTATAATATGAGCCATAGAAATTATAAAGGGTGTTGAAAGGTTAGGATTCCTTTCCTTCCTCCAAAAGCTGCTAATTTGTTGAATATAACTAAAATGTACTTACAGTAGGTTCTAAGTTATTTTCCTATGGATTGTTGGTCATGTATTTAGCTAATTGTTATCCTTCTGTTGAAGAGGTCTGTTTTTTATTTTCCAGTTCCCTTCAGTTACTCTGAAGTAGAATGGGTCAAAGTTGTAACTGTATTTGTTGATCTTTTCTTATTCTTGTCATTGATTAAATCATTCATTTTCTAGAATCAAATGGTCAGGGAGACTTCATTTCACTACATTACTTCTGCAAACTACACTGTGTCATGTTTAGAAAAAGCCTTAGGGATATTCACAGTCTGAAAAGTAGATAGATTAAATGTATTACCTTACTTAGGGGCCCAGTCAAGAAAAAAAGTGAAGCAGCTATGAGGCGCAAAGGCATACCTTTCTGTCATGTATGGAAAAAGCTCATGGGATGATTTTTAAGTCACTAACTTGAAGATAAAAAGTTTCCCTTCATGAAGAATTTGCCATTTCTCTAGGCTTCATGGTTACCCACATTTTTTGGAGGTTCTAGTTGTCCATATATTGGTTTGTGTTTATCACTAAGCCATTGAAAAAGTGAATAAGGCACGCTATCAAAGTGATTTATTAGCCTAAGTTACATAGGTAACCAAAGACCAGTGACAGGATTGGAAACAAAAGCAAGACTTCAAGTAAATATTTAGTAAAACACCATATGTATGTCAATTTTGTATTGTTACTCTGTTACATATTACATACTATTTGAAAACTATGAAAAATTATAGAAAAATCACATATTTCTTGTCTCCTGAATCCTACCCTTCTGTCCATACTTTTCTCCCCTCCTCAGTATCAGCTTTAAGATTGGAAGTATACACCCCTGGGTTTGCTCATAGAGGTATCAATAGTGAAAAATAACTAGGTATTTCCACCAAATGTTAGCACTTTCTTTCTTTTTTAAAGACACAATTTTGATTTGTAGCTTATAAAAGTCATCAGGTGAGGAAGAAAGGAAAATATAAACATGTTTATTGAGACTCATACTGAATAGTTCAATTTAATTTATTATAGTAACTAATAATAGCAGATTGCAGGAGATTAGATTCCTTTAATTGGTGTATAATATGTGACAGTCTCAAAGAGGAATTGATCTGATTCCTCTGAGTATAAGAGCATATTGTGGACAATGTTGACAATCTCCAGAGTTTTCCAATGATAGAGAAATGTACAATCTCTGAAACATGTGTTTCAACATTATTATATTACAAAATTAACCTAAGGATTGCTATATTCTCTTATTTGATACCTCTTCCCATGATCACAGCAGCTCTTAGAGTAATTTTGAATAAATAACTGTGGAACATGGTAGTAGTCTGTTTTGTGTTGCTATAAAAAATACCTGATGCTTGATACTTCATAAAGAAAAGAGGTTTATTTAGCTAACTATGCTGGAATTTCAAGAGCATGGAACTAGCATCTGCTTAGCTCTTTTGATAATATGATGGTGAATAACAGCTCAGTAGTGGGTGTCAGCCAGGCTTACTTATAACAACCTGCTCTTGCAAGACTTCCTACAAGAACAAGAATGCTGTTCCAGAAAAAAAGTATTATTCCTTCTTAAAGGTCTAATCACCTATCACTGCACCCCGCCTCTTAAATTTCCTCCATTTCTCAACATTGCCACACTGGTTACTGTAAGGATTCAACATGATATGACTGCAGCCAGCTTGAATTGATATCATGATCATCTCTGATTAACTTTGGTCAGTTTTCCCCTAGTAGTTTTTTCATTATACTCTAAATAGACAAAACTATTAGAGTGATAGAGATTTACAGTTAGACACTGAGGCTAGCAGTGAGTCTGTTGTTATTAGCTTGAGATAAACCAGATACATTCCACCAGGTGAGGTCATTTTTGTTCTAACCAATATGTATACCCATACTTCTGACCCATGTGGAAATCAACCTGGTCTAAGGGCTGCCTAGAACTATGCTTCTATCAGCAAATTACCAATAAATTGTACTCTGTCCAATCCTGGATCTTCCTGCCTCTTTTCTTTGGTCTCACTGAACTTCAGGGCTGCTTCTCATACTCCAGAACAGGGGATCAAGCTTCTAATGCATGAAGCTTTGGGGGAAATGCTTAAACCATATCCAAACTATAATGCATGTGAAATAAACCTAAGTAGTTCTTGCATTTCTCCTGCTTGTAAGTGCCACATCATAGGCTCCAAGGACATAGACTGCATTTGCTTTATTCATTTTGATAATAAAGAACATGATAAACTTGGCATAAGGCACAAAATGTATATTCTGATTAAGATCTAGGATGTCCCCTGAGGCTTCATGTGTTCAGAGATGGGACTTTTGAAAGATTAGGTCATGCAGCACTACTCATCAATGAATTAAGCCAGAGCTAAGTGTGCTGTAGGAAGTGGGCCTTGGTCAGAACAGACAGGTACTGGACACATAAGCTGGAAGGATATAGCTCCCTGCTCAGTGACCAAGACACTCAGAGGGTGCTGAAGCCATGACTTAAGGGGAGCCAACTTCTCTTCCAGCTGGCAGCAGCCCTTTTCCTCATTCACACAGTGCTGGTTTTACCGGCATGTAGAGTGCAAGAGTTATGCGGTCAAGGAGGTTTCCACCCAGATTTTAGAAGAAGGCCTGGGAAACTAGGCAGTGTGTTCCTGAGTGGCCAATGCATGAAGCTCTGAGAGTAAAGCCAAAAATGGAGACCCCAGGAAGTTGGAGAAGCCAGAAATGTGGAATGTGTGCTGAAGACAGCTGTAGGCAATTAGCAAAGTTAACCCAAAAGAGGCCATGAAGGCTAAACCCAGCAGTGTCATGGTGGCAGGGCTACCCAAGCCCTTTGGAGCTCACACCTTACCACCACCTCCCCCCTGCCCCACGGGTGCCAGACATGAAGCTATAAGATGTAATGTTTGCCCTGCTGGGTTACAGTCTCCTTTTGGTCCTATTTTTTTCTATCCTATTTCTCTTTTGAAATGGGAATATGTACCTTGTGTAATTTTATGTCAGCAGTGTTTAACATTCTTTTTGATTTTCACAGGGGCTCACATCTAAGAGTTTGCCTCAAGTCTCCAGAGGATACTTTGGACTTGGACTTTTCAACAATACTGAAACTGTCAACTCTTAAAGACAAGCTAAATGGGGGCTGGGGATTTAGCTCAGCGGCAAAAGCGCCTGCCTGGCAAGCACAAGGTCGTGAGTTCAGTTCCCGGTACCAGAGAAAAACACACACACACACACAAAAAAAAGACAGGCTAAATGCATTTTGCATAAAGAAATGAACATGAGTCTTTGAGGGCCAGGGTGAAATGTTGTTTAGATCTAGAATGTCTCTCAAAGTCCTCATAAACTTGATTGGATCATGGGGTGCTGCACTGATCTGTGAGTTACTGTGGATGAGTTCAGAGCTAGTTTGCTCTTGGACGTTTGGCCTGGCTGAAGGAGGTGGGTCACTGGGGACATCACCTGAAAGAGTATATCTCTCTTTGGTTTCTCCTTGCTGTCTCTGCTTCCTTGCTGCCATGACATGAGAATATGAGCAACTTTTCTCTCTTCAAGCTCTGTTTCTGTATTTAAGCCTGCCAACATGTAATAAAACTTCTGAAACTGAACCAAAATAAACCTCTCCTCTTTTAAGCTGGGGGTATCAGTTACTGTATTCTGTCTTAGCAATGGAAAAGTGACTAAGACAGTATAATTCTAGTGAGAGACCATCTCTGTTGTTTCAGCAAATTGCACAGAAAAAAACCTTTCTCATAAGAACAAACTATCATTTAAGCAAGGATATAACCTAAATCTAATCTTACACTAATATAATGTTTGGAATTAAATATTTGACAAATATTGCAACAAATAAGCCTAAAATGGTGCTAGAAACATGGACACCCTCTTGTCTAGCATGAACCTAAACCTCACACTTCCAGAAGGAAAGCAGATGTTAAGCATAAAACACATTGTATACAGAATTCCAGAAGAGTGAACCACTCTTACCAGTTCTGGAAATGGCAGGAACCATCCCAAAGTCAAAGTTCCCAGACACCACCACTACTAGTAATTAGTCCTTTGAAAAGATAGCATGCTTATGCATGCTTTGTTAACTCTGCACCATGCACAACTTTGGATATTCTCTAATGAGCTTGTGCTTGACTATATACTGTATCCTATAAATCTTTTTAGTGAGTGGGAATGGTCTTGAGGACCCCAAAACATGTATGTAAAGAAATAGGATGTCATTTTGGTTTATCAAGTGGGGGAACAAAAAGATAATTTTGTCTCAAAGGGAAATATCTCGTATGGGCAAAATGTGAAAAAAAAAAAAAAAAAGGTTAAAAGAATAAACTGGAGTAAATGGTAAGTTTTGAAAGGTTGGAGGGATAAATGAACTTTACTTGTGCATTATAATAGCTGCAAATACTGAAAAAGGCAGTGAAACGTCCTAAAAATTTGACAAAGACTGACTTGATTTTGATAGGCTTAACATGCCTGGGGTGAATACTACTTGGTCATGGTATATTATCTTTTGATGATTTGCTGCATTCTGTTTGCTAGTATCTTATTGAGGATTGTTGCATCTATGTTCATTAGGGAGATTGGCCTGTAGTTCTTTTTTGGATGTATCCTTTTCTGGTTTTGGGTATCAGGGTAATGCTTGCTTCCAAGAATGAGTTTGGGGGTATTGCTTCCCTTTGAATTTCATTAAAGACTTTGAGGAGTGGTAGCAATAGATCTTCTCTAAATTTTTTGTAGAATTCAACAGTGAATATGTCAGGATTTTGGCTTCTCTTTGTTGGAAGGTTTTTAATTACATCTTCAATTTCATTCACTGATATTGAGTCATTTTGAATTTTTATATCTTCACTCAGCTTTGGTAATTCATATGTGTCTAGGAATCTATCCATTTCTTCTGTGCTTTCCATCTTATTAGATTACAGATTCTCAAAGTAAGTACTGATGATTGTCTTAGTTACTTTTTTTGCTGCTGAGGCAAAATACCCAAAAACTAAAGTTAAAGGAGAAAATATTTATTTGGCTTACAGTTTGCAGAGGTTTCAGTCCATAATTGACTGGCTCGAAGGCAGGGTGTCATGGCAGACAGGAATCACAGAGGAGAAACAGTTCATAGCAGGCAGAAGGTAGCAAAACTGCAATGAAACCACAGCTATTTCTGTCCCTTACATCATATCCAGACTACCTGCCTTAAAGGTAGGTAGCACTCACATCCTTAATCCTAGTGCCCTTGATCCTAACAATGCATCATGAATCAATCCAGCATGGCACATGCTAGATCCAGCCTCCTCTGAAAAAGCCCTGTCTATGACTACATGAGACTTAGGGCTCATCTAGATACAAGCCAGAACATTGTGCCCCTCGTGCCCCAAAATTCATGCTTCAAAAGGCATTTAGTTTACCTCTAAGAGTTGCCGAAGTCCTGAGAGTTTCAGCATTGCTGAAAAATCCAAACCCAAAGTCTCCTCTGAGATTTAAGGCAAACTCTTAAACCTTAAGCTTTCTATAGCTCTGTGCCCCTGTAGAAATGAAAAGAAAGTTAAACATTCAATGGCACAACTTAGGCATTTCCATTCCAAAAGTTACAAATAGGGGGATAGAAATTAATAAGAACAAAGCAAGCCCAAATCCAGCAGAGCAAATATTAAATCCCACAGTTCCACTTCCAGTATCCTGGCAATCTGTTGCAAGTTGTGAAATCCGGATGGCTTGGATGGCTCCTTCTTATAGCACTACAGGTGGTTGTAGCTCCCATGGCTTCTCTCTGAGACTGGCTCTGCTTCTTCCTTGCAGTATTCTTTAGACAATCCACATTTCTGGTTTCTCCAAACCTTTGGCTTCACACTCACAGCTTCACACACTACCCTCTCAGGAGCACACTGCCTGGCCTGCCAACCCTTCTTCTGAAATGTAGGTGGACCTGACCCCACAACTCTTCTTTCTGCATGCACCTAAAATCAGTACCATGTGGATGATGCCGAAGTCTGCCACCAGCTGTAACAGTAGCCAGGCTTCCTTGTCTCTTGGCTGAAAAGGTCAGGTGCCTATAAAGCAAATCTCTGGGAAGAACTTTCCTAGGCCACGATCAAGCTGAAACATGTGCTGGGGGGCTTTCTTCTCAAAGGAAAGTCTTTCATCTTTGCAACCCTGAGGCACAAAGGCTGGAGTCCTGCTAGTTCTGCTGATATCCTCAGGCTGTCTTTGCTGTTGTTTTCTTCTGAAATACTTGGTTTTTTCTTGCTGGAATTTTCAGGAACCAATTTTTTCTTTTTTCTATCTTTGCAGGCCACAACTGTATTCAATTTTCCTTTCCATCCAAACTCAAAACTTTTTAAATCATTCTGCTGGGCTTTTTGCTTTTGATTCTTAACATAAATCTGGGTAAAAACCCCCCAACAGTAGCCATGCCACTACCTCAACATTAGACTGCCTTGAAATTTTTTCTGCCAGATTAATTAGTCTGCCGTCCTTAATCTCAGATTCAGGCAAAGTCTCCAGATATGAGCAAAATGCAGACAAACTTTCTGCCAAGGCATAACACTAATTGTCTGGAATCTAATAGCCAGTGCAGTCCTTCCCAGCAGAAACCTGCTGAGCCTGATCTTTTCTGGCAGGATTTCTATCAGCCTTCTGGTCTTATGAGCTCTGACCTGAATCTCCCATCCAGTACCACCTAAGCAGTGCCAGCTCTACTTTTTCTGTGTATCTTTTCAAACTCTTCTCACAAGCCATTCTCATCATAGCAGGCAGAAGACATCAAGGCAATAACGAAATCATAGCTCTTTCTGTCCCTTATATGTTACCCAGACAACCCTCCCTTTGGGTGAATAGCATTCAGATCCTTAATCTTAGTGCTCTTGATCCTAGTATTACACCATGACTCAATCCCAGTGTCACACACTGTAGATCCAGCCTCCTCTGAGAAATCCCCACATATGGCTGCATAAGAGGTCTGCAGTGTGATTCTGATTGGCTTTCCTTTACAGGTGATTTGTTTCTTTTCTCTAACAGCTTTTAATATTCTGTGTTTATGTTGAATTTCTAGAATCTTGAGTATTATATGCCTTGGAGTAGATTTTGTTTGATCATGGTTAATTGGGGTTCTATAATGCTTCAGATATCTGTATGTCGAATTCTTTTTCTGAACTTTAGAAGTTTTCTTCCATTATCTCTGTGAACAGGTGTTTATGTTGCTTGTGCTATCTCTTGATTTTTCCTTGATTCAATCTTATGTTATTCTTTGCATCATCTAGAAGCTATTTGATTGATTTTTCAGATCCCTTGCTATTTTTAAGAAGTCTGTCTTTTTATGATTACTAACTGCAAATTTTACTTCTAGACCTGATATTCTGTCCTCACGTTAGTTGATTCTGCTCCATATACTTTAAATAGAATTTTTAATCTTTTCAATATCTGTTTAAATCTATCTCATGGATTCCATTTCTTTCCTATGTTGGGCATTCATAATTTTCATCATTATTCAAAGCTTCACTACTTTTTAAATTGAGATCTACTTTAGATTCACTAACCATGTCCTTCCTTGTGGTCATATCTCTTTTGTTATCTGAGAAATTATTTCTCTTTTTTTTTCCTAGAGCCTTATCCATCTGCTTTGTTACTTCTGCTGTTACCATTTCAGAGAGTTCAAGTGGATAGCTTTTGATTTGTTCCACTTCACTGCTGCAGGGTTTCCCTTGGGCAAGCTGGAGTTGTGGAGGTCACAGCTTGCTTCTGTGTCTTCTCATTTTCTATAATTTAAATTTATTTTCTGTGTTGCTACTTGTAAATTACTTATGGTAGGTAGCTTTATTAGTCATATCAAGAACTGCTTAGGTAATGACTAATTTTCAGAGATGTCTTTTAGATATGCCTGGCTTTTGGCTTTTGAGTCTGACACAGCATCCTACCTCTTCAATTTATTAGGGATGAGAAGTTGCTACACATGTGGAATAGATCCTGGTTCTTTGGTACTGGTCTATAATATTATTTATGATTCTCAGACAATCTCAGTCTTGGCAATAAAGGAAGAACAACTGATTAGAACAACTGTGTCACATTGGCTAAAGTAGTACAATCAGTAATAACAGTAGGATCAAGCACTGCCTAGAAGATGACAAACTGTGGTAACTATGAATTTGCCACCTTTAACTATCTGAACAAGATTTGTAGTTATATAACAAAATCTAAAACAAACCAGAAGCTGAGTGTGGTGGCACGTGCTTATACTCCCAGCCTATAATCGCAGGAGACTGAGGCAAAAGAATTGCCATGAGTTTGAGGCAGCCTAGACTATGTAAGGGAGTTCAAGGCTGGCTTGCAGTACATAGTGAGACCTTGCCTCAAAGAAAAAGTAAAATAAGTCAGAAACATATATAGGAAATATCTCCTCAATTTCAAAAGGGATGGGAAAAATTGGAAAATAGAAGAAGAGAAATAAATTAGAAGCGAGGTAAAAGGACATAGGAAGATTACCTAAGCTTTTGGAAACTGCTGAAGAAGACAGGAGGGAAACAAGGAAGAAACAAAAACAAGAACTGAACAAACAAAAAACTAAAAATGTTTACACTCATGAGTAAACAAGAATATACAATCAAAAATCAAGAGAGATTTCTCTGTGATCTCAAGTCTGTGGTTATCTTCTAGGGGCTATAATTTTGTGGTAGTGTCCACTTCAGGGTATGTCTCTGTTGTCACCTATAGACAAAGGAGGCAGACAGAGCCCAGATCTGTGTGATCCCAGCAAGCCTGGTTGCTGTATAATGCCAGCAGACCTTCAGTAGGAATACTATGGGTTGCTGATTTCACCTCCACAGAAGTTCAGGGTGATCCTGTTCTCTGGTTGTGGGCCTGTGACTCATTGTTCAGCCCACAACACTACATATGTTCTTGTTGCCTTGACCTCATTTTCCAGACCCTGGACATCTCCCAGGGTGTGCCTTACACAGACATTTTGGACCCTGAAATGAAGCCAGCTCATGGCTGCTCCAAGTCATGGGATCAGGTAGCTGTATCCCAAAATAGCCAGTCAATCACCATCTCCTGGGAATATTTGGACTGGACTCACTCACCAGCTGCTGCAGTCCACAGCATCCACTGCTCTGCTGTACTGGTACATTACCCTGTCAAGACCTTCAGGGTCCTCCACAATCACTGCATCTCTGTATATTCAAGTCTCTTCTCTCATGCCACAAGCCAGGAGTAAGGGAGAATGTGCAGTTTGCCACTTCCCTCTTCTGCACTGAGGTTTGTCATCTAACTGTGGGCTACAGTTCTCCCTTCACAACTTTCTTAGATCTCAGGGATCCACCTCCCTCCTTCTGCAAATTTCTATACTCCAGTATCTGGTCTCCTAATTTCAAAGAGTTTATATGTATCTTTAAATATTAAAAAACATAACTAGGTTAAACAACACTTTTGTATATCTTACTTAAAGCACCTAAGTTTCCAATGATTCCAATAAACATTTTAAATAAAAATATTTCTATATTCAACTTGAAAAATCCCAAGAATTTACATCAGTAAATTTTAAGGATTCAAAATCATTTAGATAGCATAGTAAGAAATGCAAAAAATCACTTCATAGGTCTTTGAACATTTAATAAACATATACAATATGCTTATGCCTTTCAGTAATTTGATAATCAAAATAAATGAAAATGAAATATTGCCATACTCTAGCCAGAGTAACTAAAATGGGAAAGATTTAAAACAACAGCAACAGCAACAAAAAAACATGTTTTAGCTCTTTATCACTGAACAAATGCTTAATGAAAATCAGGTCATAAGGAGGAAAGTTTAATTTTGGCTCACAGTTTCAGAAATTTTAGCATTTGGGCACTTGGCCCTATTCCTTTTGGGCCTGTAGCAATGCAGTACATCATGGTGGACGCATGTGTGGCCAAGGAAATGTGTTCATCTCATGGCAGCTGGAAGCAAAGAAAGAAAGACAGGCAGGAGTCAGTAGCCTGTGTGAGTTTATTTCTCCAAACTACTCCTTCTATGAAATCTAATTTGTTCATTTTATTTTCAGTTCAGGTTCAAAAACTTTGAGTTAATTAAGGTCTTTGGAAATTATATATAAACTAAAAAAAGAGCAACACAATTTCTATTTTTTTTTTTTGTCAGAAGTACTACAATTCAGTAGTATTTGTCCAGTTCATATGAGGAGTCTTTATATCCTACTTATTAATCCCATGTATCTGTTGGAAAATACTTGAAGCTACCCACAAAGAGCTTCTTTTACCCACAAAGAGCTAAGTACTTTTCTCATTTATAGACAGATACAGAGATAGCTTGCTGTTTTATTTCACCAGCCTTATTAACCACATGTGGTGGATCAAAAGTAAACATGATGCAAAAGCTCACCCATGCAGATCTATAGGATTCTCCTTTTTTGATTGATGTGAAACATTTTCTAAACCAATATGAAGTTACATATAAACAAACTAGAGTTTCTGTCTTCTCCCACCTATCATATATAATACTGGATAAATGTATTGATGATAAATATATCCTCAATCAGCTATACAACAGAGATTTAGTCAAACATTATTCTGGATATGACTTCAAAGGTATTTCAGGGTAAGTTTAACATTTGAATTGTAGACTGAGTAAAGCAGATTGCCATCTTCATGTGGGTAGGCCCCATCCACTGAAGACCTGCAGTGAATGAAGTTGATTTGTTTGATTTTTTGTTTTTGTTTTTCTTCCGGTGCCAGGAATCAAACTCACGACCTTGTGCTTGCCAGGCAGGCGTTTTTGTGGCTGAGCTAAATCCCCAGCCCCGTGAATGAAGTTGAGAAAGAGAACTTTTCCTGTTTGACTGTTTTAGCAGGCACACTAGCCTTTTCCAGCCTTATGACTTACTGAAGTATTGGCTCTTTTTAGGTCTTGAGCCTGGCAACTTTTGTATTTGTTCTCGGATCTTCAAATTTAGGTTGGAACTACACGTTAAGTCTCCTGGGTCTCCAGTCATTGGACTGCAGATATTAGTACTTGCCAGCTTCCAGAATTGTATATGCAATTTATACACATACATATATACTATTAATTCTGTTTCTCTGCAGAATTGACTAATAAAGAAACTCTATATGATATTATATGTACGTATTGTGTGTGTGTGTATATATATATATATATATAAAAAGATGTAATAAATGTAAAAATCTGTCTTGCTACTCCAGAATCATGTTTTACAAGCATCAATGTTTATAGAGAAAGCATCTCAGAATGCAGCATGTTGTTCACAGTATTTTAAGCAAGATTCCTCTGCCCCTAGAATGTAGTACTGACAATACCACTGACTGGAATGTAAACAATGGGGGAATCCTGTTTAGCAGAAGAAGACAAAGCACTCATTTGGGAAATGTTCAATTTGAGGTGTTTAAAGAACTTGGATCCATTACATAGCTTCTTCGTACTGCCTTATCTGTAAAACAGAATCATAATAATATATGCTGGGTTTGTGATAATTAAATATATATAAAGGCCTTAGAACTGTGCCCAGAATCAATTCTATAGATGGTAATCATTCTTATGGATCTAGGTCTCACAATTTAGTTTGCAGTGTACATATTATTGAATTAGGAATTGACACCATATTAATAACTGGTTTTTTTGGTTTTTTTATTTTAAAGAGACAAACAATAATAATGTTACAGAATTTGACAACAAATAATAGGAAATTAACAATGGTTATTATATTGCATATTGTTATCTTCAAAGTAGTTGCTTAGATTACCAGGTACAGGCATGCAAAACTGATCAAATACTATAAGCACAAACTTTTCTTTTCAATGAACTAATAGAAATTAGTAGTACAATTATCTTAGTTATCTCATGTATATATGCATATCTTTTTTCCCCTTCCTTCTTTTATCTTTTCCTCCATCCCATTTCTTTCCTTTTGAACAGTTTCTTTCCCTTTCGCTATATCTATTGTACCTTTTGAATCTTATTTACTCTTTTAGGTTCTTTCACTAGGGAAACAATACGATGTTTACACATGTGATTCTGATTTATTTCACTTATGAGTATGGTCTCTAGTTGCACACATTTACCTATAAAAGCCTCGAGTTTATCTTTCTTTATAGTTGAGTAATACTCCATTGTATAAAAATACCACATCTTTTTTATCCATTCCTTGGTTGATGGACATTGGGTTGTTTCCAAGATTTAGCTATAACAAATTCTGCTGTTATAAACATGGGCTGTGGTATGATGTTTTTAATTCTTCTGGGAAGATATCCAGAAAGGGAATAGCTGGGTCAAATGGGACCTCTAATCCTAGTTTTTTGAGGACTCTCCATACTGATTTCCACAGTGGTTGTACCAATCTACACTCCCAACAACAGTGGAGAAGGGTTCTTTTTCCTCCACAGCCCTGTAATGCTGTTGATGACATGAGAGTGAGTCATCATGCAAGGAACAGACTCCGGTAAAAAGACCACCAAAAAGGAATCCACTAACCACAAGAAATAGTCCCAGAAGAGGAGCCACGTTTTGCTCTATTATGAAGGTAGAATTTTTGGGCCTAAGGATGGCATAGGGTTAGGCCAATGAGAAAAAAGCTTCCTGTGCTGAGGGGAGCAGCTCCAAAGTACCCCAATGTTGTCAGCCTAAACAGTACTATGTGGGAGATCACTAAGCCACATTCCCCTGATAAATGAAGCTCCTTTACCTGACCTTTACTTCAACCTATTTACTGAGATATGCAGAGCTGGCTATATAAAAGCAGATGTTCTTTTAATTGGCTGAAAGTATGTAATCGAGTCTGTCCAAGACACCAAGATGTGTTTCACTGCAGCAAAGCAGATCAAAATTGCCCCCCACACCAGTCATGGCTGGAATGGAGGCTCAAGCAAGAGCCTGTGAAATTCTAGGACTAAGATATGAGATAATGTCTCAGCTGAGGCCATGGGACTCAAAAAGAATTATACCTTCCTGCAAGTAAGGTGCCAACCTTGCATATATCAAACTATCCATCACACTGCTAATTGGAGGGCCTCCATGCCTGGTGCAAAATTGCTCTGTTTCTCCTTACAGCCATGCCTGCAAAGTTTCTCTTTCCTAGCACTGTGCCTCAACCTTCACCCAACTCCCTGGTTGATACCCATAAAAGCTATGAGCACTTGGACTTGTGGCCCTTTGTTCCACGAAGAGCACTGAGTCATCCCAGAGCCTCCTCAACTGCAGGTTTTTCTCTTTGTATTTCTTTCCATCCCATGCCATATTGCCTGGTGAGAAACTGATACCCTCCTCGGAGGGTTCAATACCACTATATACTAAGAAAAGAACTACAGGCAGTGCAAGGAAGAATATTTGGCAGCAGAGGCACACAGGATGTGGGCAGAGTTGGTTTTGCCTTCTAGAATCTGAAGCAAACACAGGCAAAGGCATAGCCACCTATGTACCAACATGGCCCCTGCACTTAAGTATTTTAACTAAGTTACCTGTCTTTACAGTGACTGTCTACCTGGTGCTTCTAGGTCATCTGCCCATATTTTCATACTTTTATATTCATTCTTAACATGTTGTTTTCAAAGTCTGTGTAGCTTTCCTTTGTGTTCATCACAGCCAGTGGATTTCCAACACAGTGCAGGTCTACAGAGCTAATAGACCCTGTCGATTTTGTAACCTCAAAGCAAAGCCAAGCTGGGTGGGACTCTAGAGCTGTACAAGTGTAGATCTTCTTGGTTGCCAGGAAGGCAAACTGGACAGTCTTGCCTGGTGCTGCAGGCCCCTGCAGATGTTTCCATTGTGTTCTATTGGTGCATTTTTCAAAGATTAGCTGATGATATATGTTGAGATCTATTTTAGGACTCCCCTATTCTATTCTATTCTATTCTATTCTAATCTATTCTATTCTATTCTATTCTATTCTATTCTATTCTATTCTATTCTATTCTATCCTATTCTATTCTACTCATCTGTGTTTCTGTTTATATCCTAGAAATGCTATTTTGAGTATTCTAGCTTTGTAGTGTAATTTTAAATAAGGAAATGTGATGCTTCCACATATATTTTTCTTTTCTGTTATTGCTTTGGGTATTCAGGCTTTTTATGGTTACAAATAAAATTTAGAATTGTTTTTTTCTATTTCCCAAAAAATGTCATTGGAATTTTGATAGAGAGTTGTATTAAATCTGTAAATTTCTCTGAATAGTATGGACAGTTTAACAATGTTAGTACTTTCAATT